ACTAGGGCAGACCCAATATACTGTGACACGCAACGCGTGCAATGTTGCAGTTAACGCATTCATGTATGCAATGTATGTTTGTTAACGTATACAATGTTTTAAGTTTGCAATGTAACCTAATGTAGGTTAAAGGCATGTAACGTAGTGCAATGTAGCGCGATGTAGCGTAATGCAGTTCAATGGGTGCTTAATGTGATGTAACGCTAAGTGTAGTGCAATGTAACATCATGTTGTGTAATGCGATGTATTCTTTGTAACGTATGTTGGTATGCATGCGTGCATGCGTGCAATGGTGGATGGATGTCTGTATGTGTGTATGTATGTATGTATGTATGTATGTATGTCAGGACGCTTTGTGCCAATCCGATGAGGCCCTGAAAAAAAGGCTCTGGCTTTTGTTGGGGGTAGTTGATCCCTCAGTTCATGCCAGCCTTGTATGGTTCTGGCAGCCAAAGCGTTTGCGTTTCTGTGGCTCCCATCGAATCCGATGTCATCGACCCATCCATTTAGAGTCATGTCGGGGTATTTGGTCTGGAAAGGAGTGAGGATTGGCTGTAGGAAAGCTTTTGCCAAGAGTGGGGCTTGTGGACATCCCGCAGGCACGCCAGTGGTGACATGAAACCAGGGGCAGAGAGCTCAGCCTCGGCAAGGATTGCTTTTGGGCCAGAGTACACCTGCGTGGCAAATTCGAGAGCCAAGGGTGGGTAGTGTAGGTCCATGGCTGTCTCCTGCAGTCGTTTCAGGTCGATGGTGTCGTAGAAGGTGCTCATGTCAAGCAGAACTGTGATGCCGTGGGCGTCCAAGGTCTTGTTGCTTTCTTGCCTCATCAGTCTCTCCAATGCGACATGCAATGCTGTTGCCCTGGTCGTGCCCTGTCATAGTCCATCTCGTGTGGCAAGTTGGTTTGCCACTGGTCCATGAGGTTCTTCCGCATCTTACACCAGGTGCGGTATAGGACACTTGTGAGAGTGATTGGTCGCTCGACTTTTTTCGTTCTCGGCCAACATCACCACAAGGCTCATCTGAAGCTGGGTGGGAAGCTCCGCAGTGGCCTCCATGTCCTGCAGCAGTTTCAGCAAAGGTGTGAGAGCTTGTTTCGGAGCTGTGCGGAGCAGTTGGGTGGTGATGGCATCTGGTCCGCATGCTCTATCTGGTAGCTTCTTCAGGGTTTTGGCAAGTTGCCCAAAAGTCAAGGGGGGGCAGTTGGGCAGCCTGTGCTTTGGCTTCTTGGTGGATGGACGGTCTTGGCATGACCTGGTTGTCTCCAAAGCGCTTGCCATGCATGGAGTCGGTGGCGCATGCGATCTGCAACTGGGACATCTCTGTATGGCCGTTGCCAGAAAGTTCGCTGGCTTTGAGGGACCTGAAAAGGCCTTTGAGGCCCTTGGTCTCCCCTTGTCTGATCCATTCGGCATATTGGAGGTGTGCCTCTTCTCTGCTTTGTTCTTGGGCGGCTGTAAGCTGATACTGGATGGTGTGTTGCATCAGTTCCAAGGTTCTTGGATCCATGTGTTATTGCCAGTGGTGGCTGGTGTCAAGAAATTGGGCCCATGTCGGTTCCCCTGTCCAGTGCTGCGCCCTGGAGAGCCTTTTGTTGGACGCGCGCCTATCTGGCGGAGTTCAACCGTGAACCATGGGGCACAGGAACTCAGTGAGCCAGTGGACATCAAGACTCTGCCGGGTCTACAAGAACTATGGCGCAAGCATGACCTCAATGCTGAAGGAGATGCGGCGCATTTTGTCAATTCCTCATGGTTGCAATCGCAAACCCGGGTCACGCAATACAGATTCTCGGAAATCAAAGAGGGAGGATATGTGGCAGAGCATGTCCAACTGCCCATCATCATCGACTACCCTGATGAATACCTCGATGAGATCACGTGGCAAGAACTCCTCAACTGCTGGGCAAATCAGGGCTATGGTCAGTACCTCAGTGACGACAAGCTTGTAATGGTCAGCCACATCAGGGGCAAATAGTTCAAGTCTGGCGACTACAGACATCAGCACTGGTGACACCACGCCAGATAGCCCGGGCCTTGCCTGAGCCTGAAAGCCTAGACTACGATCCACCGCTCCATGGCGCACCGCCAAAAAGGGCCAGGTACACGCAGGACAAAATGCATATCCATGTGGCCAACATAACAACCTTCGGTAAGCACACACTTGACTGGTTCTGGAGCCGTGACAACGAGCTTTGTGTCTTTGTGGAGACCCATCTCGACAGCCAGAAGCACCACTCCATGCGCCAATACTTTGAGATCAGAGGCAGACACGCTTTTGGATACCCAGCTCACAGCAACGCTGGCAATGATGGGACACATGGTGGCATCCTGGTTCTCCATGACAATGCGCATGGAATCTCCCAGGTCGAGCATTTTGCCATCGAAGGCTGTGGCTACCAAGCTTTCTATGGGAGGCAAAAGCCAGATCCATCCTCGTCATTGCAGTCTACTTCAAGACCAACGAGACTGCTGGCACGGATCCTGGCCCTCATCGAAGCCACCAACAGGCAATACATGATGGTGGGGGACTGGAACAATCATCCAGAACAGTTCCAAAGTACGGTGGCAAATCCTGGCACCTGATGCCACACTGCTGAATGGTAACACAGTTGACTACGCCATCATGTACCAAAACCTCGCCCCACAGGCCTCCATGACCACTGACTGGGCGGTGCCCTGGCGACCTCACTGCCTCGTCACCTATGCCCTCACGAACTACAACCAACTCCGCAGTTTCCCGCCCCTGCCAAATGTGCCAATGTATTGGGTTCAGAGCCTCCAGGCTCTATGACGCGGAACCCAATGCCGGAGCCAGCTAAATAGCGCCTCCAACAACACCCATGGGCGCCACAGGGCAGAGCCTCCAACCTGGCAGTCCAACACCAACCCCTCGTGCCTGCAAAGGCTGGCGCCATTTGGAACAAAAGGGAAACCGGCCTGTCCGGCTCAACATCCTTCAGAACCAGCCCACACATGCCAAGGGAGCCATTCGAGGTCTGAATGAAGCCCTCCGCAATGTCCAGCGCAATCATGCAAAGATTTTGCAGGACGAGGTCCGTGGTGGAGGCGTATTCATTGGTGCTCATGTTTGGACTTCTCTCCAAACTGTCGTAGGTGGACGATGTCACCGCCGCAGCTCCCCCCAGAAAGCTTGAGGCAGCCGAGGGCTGTAGGTAGGCAAAATTGTGCTCTATAGCTATGGAAGCTGTGTCAGAGTCTCTTGAAAGTCCTCGTGGTTGCTTGTCACCTGCAACTGAAAGGTTCCCAAAGTCAATGTCGTCTGTGCCATCGACTGTGTGCGAAAGTGGTTCAGCTGGTTCATGTGTCATTCCCCTTGCGCATGTTGCTCAGTGCCCCTTGAAAACATCTGAGCCTGGAGCAGCGCGGCAAACCCATGTTGGTTGAGCTGCTGGAGCCCAAGATGCCTCTTCAAAAGTGTATCCCCCATCTATTGTGGTCAAAATTTTTGGACTTGCACTGTCTTCCCATGACTGCATGTCATAGAACGGAACAGGAACAGTCCACCCCTGAATTTTGGCTTTGCTGGGAGTGTTACCCGCAATGTCCTGGTGATGCCGCCAGGGATGCTTCGGTTTTCCTGCGCTTGATGGCATCGTCGTTGTCTTGGTTTGGTTTTGTTGAGGAGTCCATGAAGCTGGGTTTTCTGCTCTTCTGTGAGTGAGATTCCCAAACTACGCACAAAGGACTCTACGGCCATGGGGATCTGCTTGGTCTCTCCGGCTGGTTCTGCAAGTTCTGCAGGTGTTGGCGTCTGGTTGACTGCCTTCATGTAATCCTCCGACAGCTTTTGTAGTGCTTTCTGGCCTTCAGCCAGCTTTCCCTGGAGCTCCTGTAGGGTGGCGTACTGAGCTTTGACTCCATCGATTGTTGCGGACTGACATGTTCTTCAAATCAGTCACCTGGCCTTTGAGTTTGGCGGCTATTTCACGCTCTGTGATGGGCTCGACCTTCGCGAGCTTGGAGACAATCTCCTGAACCTGCTGGGGAAGTGCATCTATGCTGGGTCTTCAGCAGATCCTTCAATTCAGGTTCTTCGGGCTTTGGAAGGCCCGACCCCACGGGCTTGTAGCTTGGTTTGTGTCTCTTCAGGCCAGCGTGGTCCGGCTGGTGGAGAGAAGCTCTGTGCCTTCTTGCTGGACCTTGGCGCGCTTCAGGGGCTTGATCTTGGTGAGTCCTGGTGGTGCCTCTAACCGCTGTTGGTTGGCCATGGTCTTGGTGGTCGGTCGTCCATAGCCCTTGCCTTTCCCATCGCGGCTGGAAGTTTCAGGCCACCATGCGCCACATTTGCGGCGCTTAGTGCCAGTGCGGACTTTGTCAGTCCAGATCCAATTGGCGCATGCGCCTTGGGTGCATACCACAAAGGCTCTGCCCCATTGAGGTGTCATATCTCCGGATACGGTGGACCGCAGTGGCATGCTGGTATCCCAGGATGTGGTTTGTAGATCAGGTCACCGAGGATGTTCAGGCCCTTGGTGTGGTCAATCACGTAGTGCCAGTCACCACGTGGTTTTCCAGCAGATAGCCAGCGAGAACTGCCGGTTACCGAAGAGGTCAGCAGTAATGGCCAAGATGCAGATCGAGATAGCTAGCAGATAGCTAGCAAAGAATGTACGCTAATCCAAGACCTCCCTGGGCCAAACTGCACGTTAAAGTCCAGGCAATGTTCGCGTGGGGGGTCCGCGCAAACTGGACTTTATTGGCCGCCAGTTTGAGCACTAGTGGCCTTGAGCCTGTATGTATGTATGTATGTATGTATGCATGCATGTATGTATGTATGTATGTACCTATGTATGTGTGCGTGTAGATTTTTCTAAACGCAGATGCAATGTATGAAACACATGTAATGGGTAGTGGATGTATGTTTGTATGTATGTTTGTAAGCGAGCATGTATGTATGTGTATGTCTATCTGTATCTGCCTGCCTGCCTGCCTGCCTGCCTGCCTGTATGTGCGTATCTATGTATGCATGCATGTATGTGCAAGGTGAAACCTTGCTTGTAGTACGGTGGTGCAGCATTTAGTTTTGCAGCTCGGCTCAGGGAAAGGACTGGTCCAAGTCTGAGAAGAACCGCGAATTGCGAATGAAGGGAGAGGGCAAGATTGGGGGCTGGATTGGCGCCATTCTGTACATGGTCTTGGGATTCTTGAAGGAGGTTCTTTTCACCATTGTCCCTCAGAAGAACGTGGTCTTCAACGGTGATCGTGTTGGACTCACCCGCTCAGCCATGTTCCTCTTTGTTTTCATCATTATCCACGCAGTTGGAAACTTGCACGTCTTCCTCGGACCGGATGACTTCAACGGCTACGGCTACTTCTACGTCCGGCTGTACTGGACCGGTTTCGGTATGAAGGCCAACATTGTGGAGGAGTACATCCTCTTGGCCGCGTTGCTGCACGTCGTAGTTGCGCTGAAAAGAACGTGGGACATCAGCATGAACTACTCTGTGGCTTCTGGCAAACTGAACCTCGCGTTCTCAGGTGTTACTTTGCTAACCTTCATGATGATCCACTTGTACCAGTTCCTTCGCAGATGTTTGAGCTTTTGCACGTTTTGACGTTTTGCGCGCGTTTTGACTTTTGTTTTTTT